CCCCCCCCCCCCCGACGGGGCTGTCTGTCGGCTTTTCCTCTCCTTTCTCTTTCTTTCTCCTCCTCAGAAATCCCTCCCCGAGGCCCGCAGCCGGCGGGGCTGAGGGGAGAAGCGGGCAGAGCTGGAGCCGGGGTGACACCCGAGCCGGGGGAGCCCCTCTCCTGCATCCCCCCCGAGCAGGACGGGGCAAGGCCGAGGCCGTGCCCCGGGGGAGCGGGCCCGGGCGGGCCGGGAGGCGGAGGTGGGCGAGGAGCAGCACACCCAGCCGGCACAGCCCGCAGCTCCCATCTGCCCTACAGCTCCCCCCACTCCTCGCCCCGTCGGAGGCATTTGGGGGTTTCCGTTTGTTCGAGGAGAAGATGAGCAGAGGGGCAGCAGGAGACGGACTCTGCCATTTTTGTTTGCTTTTTAACGATTTTTGCTTAGTGCAGCAGTTAGCTGGCACCGACCGGGGATGGAAACGCAGGCCGGGGCTGCCCCGTCAGGCTACAGCCCCCTGTCCTCCGCACCCACTGCCGGCGGGGCAGGACCCCTCTCCCACCTCATCCCAGCGCATCCCACCCCATCCCCGCCCAGCTCTGCTCCTCTCTGCAGGCCGAGGAGCCGGGAATACTCGGAGGGGTTAAATAAATGTTGTACAGCGCCATCTAAAGTTCTGTATTTCTTTCTTTTCGATGGAATAGAAACATAAACTTAGATCTTCCCCACCGAGGAAAAGAATCCGTCCTTCCAAGTGCCAGCCGCACCTCTCGGGGGGGGCCCCCCTTCCCAGCTCCAATCTCAAATCAGTTCTCTGCCTCTCTCACACACTCGCCGCCTCGCACTCCCCTGGAGCTGTACAGGCGAAAAAATGTCATTTCTTCTTAAAAAAAAACCGTGTAATGACGCTCCCCGAGAGCCGGATCCGGCCCTGCCCTGCCGAGGGAACAGGGCACCGACCCGCACTGATATCTCCGCCCGCGGGACGGGAGGGATGCTTTCGGCTCTGGGCCGAGCCGGGCTACCGGGGCCTCCCGCCTCCCCCCGCCCCACCGACAGACCCCTGGGCCCGCTGCCTACCTGCGGCCGGGGACAGGCTCCCGGGTGCCGGGGTCGCCCGTAGGGTGGGGGGGCTCCGGAGGAGGATGAAGAGGGGATTCCTCTGCCGCGGGGTGTCCGGCCAAGCTCAGCTGAGCTGGACAAATCAGGAATAAAGACGACGGGGAAAATACAGGGCAGATTAAGGGGAGCCTAAAGAGGATTATTTAAACAAATCAGGCTTTTTAATGTAATTATGCTTTTAGGATTTCTCCGTGAGAGCAGCTGAGCGGGGCACACGAGGGGACGGACGCTGCTCTGCCCTCACTGGCTCCGTGAGTGATCCCAGTCCCTCGTGGGCCCAGGGGACAGACGGCCCCGAGGGGGATGCTCTCCGGCCGGCAGTCGGGGGGTGCCCCCCCCCCCCCGCGGCCAGCACCCGCCC